ACATTCAGATCTGAAAGCTCTTAATCCAAAGGTGTTGGGTTGTTCTGTGAAACACATTTGTAATGAAGCAAAAGACTGCTAGGAAACCCAGTGGCAGCTTTCCCTGCAAACCTGTGTACTCATACCATTTTCTGCTCAGAGTGAGCACAGGTACCTGTTGGCAGGGAGTGTTATAAAACAGGTCATTACAGCAAAAAACTGAGCCAACTAATTGTTTCCAAATAACTTAGACCCTTCTGGGACTCTTTAGCACTCAGTAATCAATTAATACTGGTGCCCTCTTGATAGGGTGAAATACAGGGTTCTCATCCCAGGAGACTTCAGCCTCTTTCAGCATCTTCAAGAACCAGGGCTTGAGTACCTTCATTCTGTTGGGCCTGCCAGTGCAGTTGCCCCAGTGCCCAGGAATGCTGCTTTCTGCTGCTTTGGTCGTCTCCGTCAGGCTGATAATTTGAGGTGATCTTGGAGGTCACACTGATGTTAAGTATAGACCATGGCATGTCCCAAGTATAGGGTTGGAGGTCAGAGTAACAAGGATTCCTGACTCTGGCCTCCATGATCATAGAGGCATGGACTGTTGGAGCTGGAGGGGCCCATACACCATGGAGTCTGACCTCAGTTTACCAGTAAATGGGAGACCTGCCCATTTGATTCAGTGGTCTAAGAATAAATTTCCTATAGGGAATGCTTGCCCAGTGTCCCAGAATATGCTGAGGCCTCTTCATAGACCCTCTCTTAGGACCCTGCACTGGCCTTTCACCAATATAATTTAAATGACTGTAGGGTTATTTATTGCCTTTCTTCCCCATCAGCTCTAGAAGAGGGACCACAGCTGTCTTGTGACTCCTGTCTCCATTCCCCAGTATAATTCCTGAACTCAATGCGTGGTTACTTGAATGCTTTTAGCAAACATTTGAGATCTTACTGGGTAGTTCTGTAGTCAGGGTCAGCCCCGAGAGCCTACAGTCTGATGGGAGAGACGGGTCTGTGTGCCCAGCACTGCTGCTATGTGAGGCTTGCGGAGCCTAGAAGGTGGGGCAGTTGGATCCGAGCACTTGGGGAAGGGTTGTCAGAGGGCAGAAAAGTACGAGGGATAGAGGGAGTCCTGGCCAAAGAGCACACCACCATAGAGGAGGGCATTCGGGGGGACTACATATGATAACAAGAGGCACAAGGTAAAGCTGGATGGGTGTGCCAGGCCTAGATTTCCAGGGCATTGTATGCCAGGCGTCCTGATTTTGTCTTGGGAATTGCGGCAGACATATTCAGATTTGTGTACAAAGATGGCCCTGCCGGTGTAGGGCAGGTAGATTAGAGGAGAGGAGACCAGTGGTGTTTGTGATCATTTGGCTAAGGTAAAGATGACCTGGATCCAGTCACAGCTGGTATGGAGAGGAGAGGGCCTCACAAGAGGCGTTGAGGAGGGCCATCCTTGGACTGAGTGGCATTTTGGATGGCCATTGGGAGGAGGAGCAGGGGAGAAAAAAACACTTCTCTAAGGGCAAGCCTGTCTGGCAGACTGGCAGTGCTCAGAGGGCCTCTTATTCCAACCTGGCTACCCACTGAGCTGTGAGCCATTCCCGCGTCACAGATAAAGGATTGTAAGAGATGCTGCTGTCGTCAAAGACTTGGGCACCTGGCTTTACAGCTCTATTCTCGGGGCGGGTGACATAGTTTTCTTTTATGAAGTCTTCAGCAAATTTATCAGCTCCAGTCTCAAGTGGATGAAAATGCAATTATTTAATAAGTGTGTAGAGTGTAGCCAAGAAACCTCATTTTCTTTTACATCATGTGGCATAAAGGCAAGATACTTAAGAGCAGTCATTGTCGGAGTAACTTTTAAATGGTAATGGCCGATAAAATTGATGTCATGGTATAAAATGTGAAAGGTTAAGCCATTCTCTCTTCAGGGGCCACAGTGTTCCGGTGGAGAACGTCGGTGGGGCTTGGAGAGCTTGGCAGCTGCAGGCAGTGGCATCTGCTAGCAGGACCTGTTTCTTCCAGGGGCCAGCGTATAAGGTGAAAGGGAGTATGCGCCGTCTCCAATGATCCTGATGGTGTCCCTTATGCCTCCACAGTGTGCTTACTGATCCAGCTCCAGGGCCACCGCCATGTCGAGCCGGGGAGGGAAGAAGAAATCCACCAAAACCTCCCGGTCCGCCAAGGCAGGAGTTATCTTCCCTGTGGGGCGGATGCTGCGGTACATCAAGAAAGGCCACCCCAAGTACAGGATTGGAGTGGGGGCACCCGTGTACATGGCTGCTGTCCTGGAGTACCTGACAGGTGAGTGTCCGAGTCAACTGGATAACTCTGGTTCAGACTGTGGCAGTTCTGACAGCTTCCAAGCATGATAGGACTTTTCGGTTTCTTTTATATTGAAACTTTTTTTTCAAACCTACAGAAGAGTTGTAAGAATAGTACAGTGAACATTTTAATCTAGATTCACCAGTTGTTAACATTCTGTCCCCTTACCCCATGTGTCTGTGTGTGTATGTGTGTGTGTGTGTATGTGTGTGTATATGTGCACACAAGTATATGTACATTTATTTTTGGCCATAATTTATTATATGTTTTATTTTCAAATTTCCTCATTTGCACCAGTAATGTTCTTCATAAATTTATTTGGAATCCTTTCCCAATCCAGGATCTGTTTCAGGGTCATACATTGCATTTGGGTTTCAGGTTTCTTTAGTCTTAATTAACCTAAAACAATTCACCAGCTTTTAAAAACTCTTCCATGACATAGATGTTTTTGAAGAGTCTGGGCCAGTTGTTTTGCAGAATGTCATTTTAGTCTGGATTGGTCTCATACTTGGATTCAGCTTAAACGTTTTAGTAGGAGAATTGCATAAGTGACGAGCCCTTCTCTGGTGTCATGTCAGGAGGTATCTGATGTGGCTTTGTCTTGTCATTAGTGATGTTTGGTTTGTTCATTAGATTAAGGTGGTGTCTGCAGATTTCTGCACGTTCTGAATCCCAGTCTTTCACCTAGTGGCTTTAGCATTCCCTGATGATCTTACCAGAATCTGTTATTACTATGGTGGTTATAAAATGGTGATTTTTTTTTTTCTATTTCTGTAATTTCCTCTACATTAATTGGCATTCTTCTGTAAAATAGAGCTTTTCTTCTTCCCTTCCCTTTTTAAATTTTTTTGTACTGCCATTGTTGGTTCATGGATTTTTTTAAATTTGGTGGGTTATACACAATCATGTCATTTTGATGCTCAAATTGTCTCAAATTTGACCCTCAGGCTGGTTCTTATGTGTTTTTGCCATTTCTCCATCAGTTTCTGTGTATTTTCTTGCTTTTTGACATTATAAGATGTTCTAGTCTTACCTTGAACTTTTCCTGTCCCAGTCTTGGAATCCGCCATCTTTCTAGGGTGCCCTTGGACCTTTTCATCGTTATGATCTTATCGCTCTTATCGGTGGCTCCATAGCAGTGTGGGAGGCCAGCTGGACAGGGATACCACCCCCGTTTTTAGTTGTGAGAAAACCAGCCTGAAAGTATAAAAGGACTTGCCCAGGGTCACATATGACCAGTAAGGACTTGAGAAGGGACCCACATCCTGCTGTTATCGTTTTTACCACTTACTGCTCCACACACTATCCATGTAGGTGGCAGTAGGGAGCATCCTTGATTCTTAGAAAGACAAGGTGCCTCTTCCAAAGAGATACAGTCAGGCACCAGAAGAACTAGATTGCTCCTTGCTCTCCCAGGTCTCTCAGTAAGGCAAGACTGAAGGTTCCCCCGTGAAGAACACAGTCATGATTGGATTGCGAGATGTTTGCACATATTCTGGGACTTTTGGCCCTCTGCTTATCAGAGACTCTTACAGGTGGCATGTCTGGTAGCATGACCTAGGCATGATTCTTTTCACTATATAGACAAAGAAACAGAGGCCCAGCATTTATGTGATATACCCAGGCAAGCCATGTATAACATTGGCAGTCAGCTGGGAAGACCAGGGGAGAAGTCAGTAGATAGAAATCAGAGGACATTTGTCCTGGCAGTTTATATGCTGTGTTACCTAGAGTGACTCAATCTCTCTGGACTCCAATTTCCTTACAACTCAAATGGAGACAGTAGACCTGCTCCATCAACTCAGGTGGCCGTGAGAGCCAGAGGGGCTTTGTTTGACCATGATGGGAAAGCTGACACAATGTGCAAACCCAGCAAGCCTGTGTTTTCTGGTTACCAAACACTGTGATGCCCCTATCATGGGTTTTCACAGACACTGTCATTAGGTCAGGTACAACATCAGTTTCATTTCTTCATTAAGCTTCCTCTTCTTAGTTTGCAAGGCACAGGATGGGGGAATACCATTGTTCCATCATATCTGAGGCAACTAGTATCTGTATCACACAGAAACTCTGTATATTTTCCTCGTCTGTGTTTGGCTGGCTCTGAAACAGCACAGTGCTCAGGAGGTCACGGTCAGTGGGTCTGTTCTCATCAGCCCCAGAGACCTTAACCCTGTTTGCACCACACCTGTCATGCTTGTCCCCAGCTATCACAGGTGTATGGTAGTGGTCACAAAGGGGAGTGGGAATGGTCAGGGCAGCCCATCACTATGGCTGGGAAAATAGGTCATGGCAAATCTTTACTCTGGCATTAGCCACGTTAACCTCTATAGTAAAGAATAATATATATTTTTAAGTTTTACCAAGGTCTTCCAGCAGAGCTGTAGTTAGCTTAATCTGAATCATTTCTTCTGGCTGCATGCAGTGCTGAGTCACTGGCATGACCATTGCCTGAAGCCAGCCCCCCAATATGGTTCCTTGCCTGCATGGCTGGTGCTCAGGAGATGTCCTGAGTTGTTAGCGCTGTGCCCAGTCACTGCTGTGGTCATGTATCCTGTTGCCTGATGATGGGATAGGAGTTAAGCTCTGGGGCCATGTCTAGTGAGAATGGTGCCCTCTTCTACCCCTTAGAACAGTGCTGTATACCTACACTGACTGCTCTTGGAAAGTGACCTACCCTGAGCCCCTTGGGCTGGGATGTGAGAGCATGTGGCTATTTGAAAGCCCATCAGAGCTTTGGTTTGGTCCTTGAGTGAGAAGGAAAGGTGGAAGAGCCCTCTTTCTATTCTGCTCTTTGCTTTTGTTTCACTAAGACCCTTTCCTGTTCATTCCACATGCTTATTGTGCACCTGCTGTGTGTCAGGCACCACAATAGGCTCTATATGAGAGCATAGGGATGATCGAGGCAGAGATGGTCTCTTCCCAGGGGAGCTCATTGTCTAATTAGGAGAAAGAACCAGCCAATCCAGATGGCTGCTGACTGTGATTCATGCCACAGAGGGCATAAACAGGTGAAGGGGGGCCTGGGCAGCTGGGTGCTTGGAGATGAACTGGCTCAGGAAGGCTTCTTTGAGGGGGAGACACAAGCTGAGACCTAGAGAAGATGATGCCAAGCCCTGTGAGAGCTGGGAGACAGGCTCTGCTATCCACTCACTGTGCTTGATGAACGTACTGGGTGCCTGCCTCTTCCCAGAGCTTGGGGGGAAGATATGGAAAGAGGGAGAAGCCAGGGTACCAGCCCTCAAGCAGCTCAGGGCCTAGTCAAGAATGTGGCCCAGATATCACACAAAGCATCTAACGGAAGTACCACCTATTCATCAGGTTTTCACTGGGAGCTATGATTATCAGGCACTGGGATATAAACCAGAACAGGACCTACCTCCACTCCCAAAGAGATTTCTGTCCAGAGACAGGTACATGCAGAGAAAGGTGATCATGCAGGGCCATATGTGCTATGAGTAGGTAGGTATCAGAAAATGTTTCCTGGAGGATGGTCACTAACCAGTTAACCAGAGCTACCCTGCTTGTCTAGTTGTTATCTGAAGAGCCCTGTAGGAGGGATTGATTTCCTTTCTGCGAGGCCCAGACTCTTACAGGTGGCATTCGCTATTGCAGGCATGGTGATGATGGTATGTCCTTTCGAAATGGCTGGGCCACACCTCCTGCCTTCACAAGGCCCCTGTAGAGAGATGAGGAAGGATCTGGATGCTCAGGGTTTGCTAAAAGGACTGCTGAGCTGCAGGGCCCACTTAGGCTTTGTTGGCTCTGGAGCAAGGAACTGACATCTCCTTGGTGGCCAGCCCTGGGGACCACTTGGAGTGCCCTGACGTTCAGTGGAAAGCAAGAAGAGGCAGTGGAACTGAGTGGTTAAGAGTGTGGACCTAGGTGTCAGAGCTGCCATTTCTTAATTGTGGCCTTAGGCTAAGCACTCATGTTCCCCAGCTGTGGTTTTATTGTCCATGAAGTGCAGATAACGATTGTCTGATAGGGTTGTTATGAGGCCGAAATTAGTGGACACACGTGAAGAACTCTTCCAAGCCAGCATAGTGTTAAGTGCCCACATGCTAACTTACATTAGGGTTAAAGCAAAGAGAGGAAGTCATCCTTCTCTGGCTACTAAGGTGACTGGGGGTTGCCTACTTCCTGTAGGGATGGTGATAGAAGCTGTCAGTGCCCACTCATGTGTCTTTTCAGTTGGTCAAAACCTCCTGGGCCTCACCAGGCAACTGCAGCATGTCTTGGCAGCTTCAGGCCTTCTCCCTCTGGTTTGTTTTAAGCTGCCATTTGACTCCTCCTCCTAGAGCCTGTATCACCCTCAACGCCAAGATGCCCTGCTACCAAACACTTCTGTCCGGAGCTCCTGGCATGCTCATGGAAACCTTCTTGAAGGCTTTTCCAGTTAGCTGGAAGTGGAGCATACCCAGCCCTGGGCCTGTGTTAGGCCAGAGCTGAGGCCAGACCAGCAGGAGTGTCTGAACAGGCAGCATCTCTGCAGGCCAGGGGCCCTCAGAGCCCCTGTGAGAGAACACACAAGCACTTCTCCTCAGGGTCTGCTGAAGGCTAGGGTGGACGTGGGGAGGAGATTGCAGTATTGCGTCTTGCTCTGAAACTTGAAGCTGGCATCTGTTTCTCTTCTTGGGTCCAGAGCCCAATCATCTGCTGAACTTAAAAGGAAAAGTCAACATCTGGAACAAGCTTGAGTGTAGTGACCAGACAGCTCCTTCCCCAGATCTCTGTGCACCTGGCTCTGCAGTGTGCTGATCTCCTCTCAGAGCTCTTCCCAAGGAATGTGATGCTGTCTGCTTGTCTTCTCAGTACCCAGGACTGTCTGGGCTTCACTTTGTTCTCTACTTCCCTGTCCCTTGACCTTCCAGCGTAGAGGATTATAGCATCCATACCTCTGGGGGTTGCTATGAGGATTGATAATACACTTCATGAATTTAGCCAGCATTGGTAGTAAACATTCAATAAATATAGAT